GTCAGTTGTTAGCCATTGCAAGCATATTAATCACATGCCATAGTCAAAGGCCATCCCAACTAAGTCCCCCAGGCGATATGTTCATCCCAACGTAGCTGCATCGAATTTGCCGCCCGATTACTGGCGTCTTTGATTTGGCTGTGTTGGATAAAAAAAAAAAAAAGAAAAGTGCAAAGGCAAAATGCCTAAGGTGTCCTGTGGTGCGTAAGCCAAGTAAAGCGTTCGAGTACATTGGCTCGATGTAAATTCTCAGGTCTTTTAGTGTCATCCCTGTCCATAACTGGGTTCGCTGCTTCGCGTGCTCTGCCGTATTGTAAAGCGATCCATCTTAAAGGTCCTCCTGTCACCACAACAGCGGGATACTCCATCCGCTTTTCTCATGCCGACTGCTAAGGTAGTAGCAATGGCCCATCAGAGTTTCACTACAGACAGTACTGATTTCAATGCTTAGTAATATGGTAGGTCTGAAACACGACCAATAAATTTGGTTGAAACTATGAACAGATTTGTAATACCCAACAGCCAGATGCATTAAAAGAAGCGGACAAAGTTATATATGCATGCATACATCGGAGCGAAGTGATTAATGAACGAGCTCAAATCTATTTATGGAAATACACGTATTTTTTTGTAGCCAGTAAGACATCATTTACGATCGAAGTTAAACGATTAAAAGGATTAGAAATGATCTAGGTTCGTACGAGACTTTTCGAAGCCCTCTAACCTGGTTGAAGTTCCATATGCTTCCACCGAGCTTGTGGCTTGTTGTTGATAAACTGCATATTTACATTTTGAAAAAACTGTTTGTTAAGATTTGAAAAGGCTCTTAGAAAGCACACTCCAGACGAAGGGAAACCACGATGCTATGTGCCCGCTGTCGGTGAGTGAATTTATCTATATAGTAGAGTAATACTGCGCATTTAGACATCAGCGACAGGTATGTGCATACAACGAGCACTAGATTTCTAACTATCTAGATACACAGACGGGAAAACATATACGCGTGTGCTGTAAATCCGCAAATTAGCACGGACGGGTACGCTCTGGAAGTTGTATGTTCTCTGTTTATCTGCCGCTGTTGTAGCTTGTTTAAACGATCCAGCGCGCGCTCACTGATGTTAATAATAACAACGATAATCGCTACGGCAGTAATTACATGCCGCCCGATCCTTGGCGCGTCCCGTGAAGTTACGATGCGACATTGTTCCACCACCGCTGCTGCTGCTGCTGCTGCTGCTGTCCTGTACCTGAGATAATTCACGAGTTACTGGACGGCGAAGGCCAGCGAACGAGCTGAAGGAGGGTGTTTGGGTAACTTGGAACAACCTATCTGTCTTCATCGTTAACTAGACGCAGCGGTTTGTGATGGCGACGTATGGGAAGCTGCTTGAATCCGCGCCGGCTCTATAAGTCTGTCAGTATATATCTTTCTGTGAAAAGGTTGCTGTTTTGAATCTACACCCGTTATTAGTTGAATTGTTGCGCCGTACTGTTATGGATCGTGGAAGGCTGGTGGTGCAGGATATGACTTGTTGAGTGTTAACAACAAATTATAGCCAACAACAAACTTGTAAGCACGCCACAACATCCTCTGTTTGCGTCGTTCCAGAAGTTATTTCACTCGGCACCATCCTGTCACTCACATGGATGAACGCAACGATCGCGCATATATAGGTCACCCGAACAAGGAGCCTGCAGCGCAGAAATATGGAAAAAAGCCAACATCAGAAAAGCAAAGAGCCGAGTTAGGCGGCGTTTTTGCTGCTCCTACTGCTGCAAAGGGTACTAGATTGTTGATGGACCAGAAGAACTTGAGTTTGGGCCAACGGCAACCATTGTCCTCTTGACGTGCACCGCCGCCGCTACCACGCAGAGGCGCGCGCGTTTGCCTGTCGCTTATTACCGAAGCTAATTATGTTTGAATTATATTTCGTGAAATCCCTCCAATCTCCTTGCCGCGACCGAAGTCGGCACTCTGTTCCGTTGTTGTGTTGTAGTCGGAGTGGTGAGCCCGCTGTCGAGAGTTTGTTTCGACCTGTACTTTGGTTGCCCCCTACCCCCTTCCATTCTTCCCCACTGACTACCCCGGCCACCTCCAAGTCCCTCTCGTCTTGACTGCTTTCGAAAACCTCCGAACACCCCATCCCCTCAACTCTAGTGAACGAACAGGACGAGGCGCCAGCCAACGTGCTGGTGGTGAGCACAAGTGGAATTTGGGACACAGGGTAATGTTGAGTGTTGCAGTTTAAAAGAGCTATAGCTATAGCCAAAGAGAAAGAGAAGTGCCATCCCTTATTTCTATGATGACGGGCGAAGGGGCAGTGCAAAGCGTGAGACCGGTGACGGGAGCGTAAGAAAAGGGGGGTGAAAGGGAGGGACGAAAAATGAAGAGGAACGGGGGTGAGGACGACAATGATGACGACGACAAAATGAAGAGGGGAACACCAGTAGCAGTACCACCCGCCACAGAAAGCTGTGGAACGTTCCGGCTGCAATAGGCGGCACAATGATGAAGAGTCGAGAAAACAGGAGGAATAAGGGTACGCAGGGGTGGGATAACACAGAGACTCTTTCGTTCATTCTGTCGATTTGTGCAGCGCCAACAGCCGGCCCGCCACCGCCAACGCTTCCCGATTTGATTTCCCGATTTCCGAGCATTGGCAGCGATCGGTCGGTCCGGACCACCAACCCAACAGGATATGTAGACCATTTTGGAGAAACCTCTTCGTAGAAGAGAGAAGTGGCGATAGGGAGAGATACTCTCGTTGCCCTGAAAACGGGACAACACATACAGCAGACGAACGAACGGTAGCATTAGCTGGCAGCAGGATTCCCAGATGTCCCCCAAATATAGAGGCGTATGCGTTTTGGGGTCTTAGCGCCCGGGGGTATGGGCCACGCAAATGGGGTCGGGGCGAGGATTTTAAGTTGGAATAAATTGCTTTGCTTTGAGGCTGGGTAAAGCCTCTTAGCCTCGTCTGCTCCGTTCCTGCACAGACTGACGCTCAGACACACACACACATACACATCATCTTCTATGGCTGGAGCGACTTCTTTTTCGTCTTCTGCTCATTTTCGTCGTTGGCGGAGTGAGGGCTTGTAAGTGCTACTAGAGCACTAGAGTGAGAGGGAGGATTCATATCCTCTCGCCGTTCGCTTTCCAGTCATACAGCAAAGACGTCCCATTCTATGGCATAGACTAACATTGCGCCGATCAAAGCTGCTTCCAACCTCGTCCTCCAATGGATCTAGTAGCTCGCAACTCTCTTTTACCAAAGGTTCCTTGTCCCAAACTAAAGTTCCTTACCTCTGTCAAGTGGCCATCAACCTTCGAGTTTCCATTAACCAACTCTCACCTCAGAGCTCGTAAGAAACAACGGCAAAGATAAGTAGAAAAGGTAGACAAATAGTATCCGTAATCCATCTCCTTTTTTCGGCCTCTTAAATTGTTTAAGCACAGAACGGGAACGGAATCTGCTATTTCGAGGCCGACATGTCTCCCTGGTGCCCTGTACGTGTGATACGTCGCCTACGTCACCTTTCATATTTATAACTCAATATATGGAATCGAAGTATCTGCATCGGCTCAAAAACAACGTCGTTTTCTTTAAAAAAAAAAAAGTCAACTTCTGCGACCTGCGCAGTTCCCATCGAAATGCGTTTGGCTGAAGTCGACCGAGGATCGTCCGCTTCTTTTCTACCGGAAACATACCTCACTATCACTCCCAGATGCTCCGCAGACGTTGTGGGACAGAACTGTAGAGGGCAATATACGCAGCCAGACAGCGGCATAGCAAACCAGAGGAGAAATCAAAACGCAGCTATGGGAAGTCGACTGTGCTCGAGCGGGCAAGCAGCCTATCCGTCACCAACCATAAGTGAACCATGAGCTTTGACTATGGCGACTGCGCGTACCAAGAGGAATGTTTATATTCCCAACTATGTGTATTTTGTAGACGCCTCGGGCCCTTTACGCGTTCGAAGCTCTGGCTGGCGACCAAGTCGGGTCTACGAGCGTTTAAACAGTGCAGCAAAGATACGATTGCAGCCAAGAGATGCTCGACAGAAGAAAGGGAAGAAACGCCTGAAAAACAAACGATGAGGTTGCTTTGGCTCATATTGGAATATGGTTCTATGCCTAGTCAGCCGTTGTAGCACTGAGTGGAATCGAACAGTTCTGAAGAATTTGTCTAGGCAGTTCCCACAATTTGGAGCAACGACCGGGGCTTCAGGAGTTTCTCTACAACAGAAGAACTCTTTCCTGTAGCGAGCTCAAATACATACACTCACAAACAGCACACATATACACAAGTCCAAAGTTGTTGAAAATAGGACACTCCCTCTCGTGGGGTCTCCACGGGAGGAAAACGCTATTGCCATTGAAGTTATTGATTTTATTTCCATCACGAAACAAAGCCAACAACAGACCACTGAATGAGACTAGCATAGGTAGATCAATCTCTATTTTGAGTCAGCAACTGCCCAGAGGTCTTCCAATGTACTCTTCTAAGACCTGCCTGTCTCTTTGACTTCTAGGGGTCTACAATGTTTCATCTTGCAGCTTGACACATACTCCAGTTCAGCAGAGGCTTTATCTATATATCGATAGATGAAACATTGCTCCATATAGCCATAGTGTCGTGTATGTCGTAGACGGCATACAGCTCACATTCATTAATGAGGCACATAGATGAAATCGTCTTTCCTTAAATTATATGCGCTGAAATAGTCGTACTAAAATCACAAGACATCAAGAACGACTTCTGATTTCGTATACCGTAAACTACTCATAATCTTCATCTCACCTACGGTGCGTCCCATCTGAATATCGCAGTTATCTTGCTAGCCATATTGTACTCGTACATTTATTTCACTGCAGCCGTATTTGCGACACCAGCTTATACAGGTAAAGACTGTCTCATAATGCATACTGCAGTTGAACCGAAAAGCTGCGGTTATTGTAAATTTACATACTTCACTTTATTGCATGGTCATTTTAGTGCGTAAATCACCCCTGTCTTCACCGCGGACATCCGTATCGGAAGAGGACGACGACCCGCTACGACCCCCATCGAAAAAACACCGCCGAAACAGAACTACATTTACTACATATCAACTGCACGAGCTCGAACGTGCCTTCGAGAAATCGCATTATCCCGATGTGTACTCAAGGGAAGAACTTGCACTCAAGGTTAATCTGCCAGAGGTCCGCGTTCAGGTTTGTAACACATAAACCCAATTTTTTGTTTAAATTTCAAATTAAAACATTATCTACTTACCAATAGTCCCGATAAAAAACGTGTTAAATGGACATAGAAGAAGTAACAGGTAACTTGAACGTTCAGACGTTATATAAACTGACTTTTGATACGTTTCGTCGCTGACTATTTATACGATTGTCATTAATCTTGTTTGATCATGTTCACGAGGTGTTATTACTTAACCTCATGTGTCCTCTAGTCCTAGATAGGTAATGTAGGCAATAAGTCTGGCGAGCAAGCGGCCGCGTACAAAAGAGCGTTGCATCGAGATGATACATCAGCGGGTAAATTGAAATCCCCCTTTGAGGTCATGTTTTCGATGGCGTCGTTAATTGCGCTCGTAGCGGTGACTACCCACCGAGTGTTCATACTGCCTCCAACTACTGCCACTAAAGCGGTGTCGGGATGAGCATGAGCACTGGTAACCTTGGCATATTAGATAGGTCTATCGGGCTAATGACATAGCATGCCACCTCATTACAGCAGTCTATAGGTTAGCTGTTAGGATATGGTAACAATAACGACAGCCACAGAGCATATTAGAAACAACAGTTACTGTCTTCATTCTTGCACGACTGTCTACGGATGAGCGGGTCAGTAAAACTGAAGGAAAGCATTGTTACCTGCCTTTGGTAGCGCAGGCAGGTCGGTGCGAGTGTGGTCCATAGCTGGCCTATTGACCAGTGTAAAAATCCGTTGATACTATATCTGAAGTTGTTACTTCCCATGGGTGTAAGCTGTGGAGAGGGCATGCTACGTGCCGTAAGTTCGCTCTTCTTGAGTTTGATGCTTGCGAGGGTAAGAGTACTCAGGGGCAGCTCTGCAGGACTAATGGCAGAGTTATACCTAGGATGGATGCCCGAACTAAGCGACCGACAGCGACGTTCGAGTAGACCCAATGACCACACAAACGTGTACAACAACAGCAGTTGCACGGCTGCCCTAGGATAGCTCAGGTTGACCCAGTTCGAGTGAGTCAGGTGCAGCCGCGTTCTTCTATTAAGTCACAAGCCACTTCGCATCGCCAATAGTCCCCGCCAACCCAAAAACACGGAGACCGAAACAGTGGTTTGTTAGTTGCATAGGCTGATTTGATTATTTTATATTTTTTGACTCCAATAAAAAACTACAATTAAACACGTGGCATAACATTTAATTCCGAACGCCTAGTGGCGTTAGGAAGTGAGAACATGGTAAATGAGCGTGGAGTACGAACGTTGAAGGCGAAGATAGAAATGATGACTATCAGAAATGACCTAGCGATTTTCGCTATCATGGACCTTTTGCATAGTTGCAACGATATTTAGTGACGCAGGCTTTCGTTTATGACAGCTTACTTATTCGTATTGGCATTATTTACGCAGTAGGTGCCCAGAAACGCACGCTTTTTATAATTAGCAGCACAAGGCAGCAGCGTGCACGTGGTGCACGTAACTAGACGCAAGCAATTACGAAGGATGAATTGGAATCTAAGCGATGACGATCTGGTATAATACGTACTCCGAACGCTTTCAGCGAACAGCTTCATTGTCTGAAGAGTGGGGGGTGGTTTCGCTGGTTCGTTGGCCACTCGTGAGAGAGTCCATCAGCAAATACCAATTAGCCTATTTGAGTTCGCGTCGTGTTTGCCAGGCCGAGACGGCCGCTTGGTGGGGGCAGAGCTCGAGCATCTACTACGGCTGGCCGGTGCCACGTGCTAGCATCTAACACCCGCCCCAGGGCAGATTCAGGACCCGTATTCCCCGTTTCTTCAGACCTCTTTCCTGCATTCACCCTTCCGGACGATGCTTCCTTCTATCAGCGTTCTAACGTGCTCCAGCAGTACAAATAACCGCTACGCCATTCCTTCTACTGCAGCAGCAGCGGTCTTCCCGACTCCTCGATGTATCGGCAATCCATCCACACTTATTTATTTCCCACCACCACCCTGGCTGGCATCGTTCCCATCTCAATTGAAATTAGCTCGGCTACTGCCACATATTAGTTTTACTAGCGATTAGTTTTACTCAGCCTTGGCGACAGCGTTAAACGCTCGAGTTGCTGTGCTACATTAGCAGCGGTAGGCTCCTCTGTCTAGGTAATGGGTGTTCCTGGACAGCAGGGGCAAGTATCTATCTATGGAAGGCCCGCGTATCCTCCAGCCAACGACAAGGAAAAGAATTGGTTACATACACACACCTATACTGTAAAGACGTTTGTGGCTGAGAACGGTACACAACACGACATCGCACAGGCAGGCGGACGGGCGGGCGGTTTTAGGCTGAAAGATCAAGAAAAATAAGCCTGCTGCTTTTTGCTGCGTTCGTGTGCTTCGTGCTGCATCGCGTCGTAAGCACGCAATGATGTATCGCATAGCATTTGTTTGTGCTCGTACACTAACAGTAGTATATATGAATCCATTGACACGCAATATCGGCGTGTATATATACTGGGTCAGTCTAGCAGTGCAGTCACATTACATTAATTATTATTCTCTTTGTCCATTACCCTAGCGACTTTTCGGGATTACTACCCACTCCTGCCTTTCTATCTACTCTTTGTTTTAGATGATGTAGGTACATATCTCTCGTACATGTACATTGCTACGCGTATAAAAGCTATCGGTCCCTGTTTGGGTTTGGGTCCTATCGTGTTCGGCTATCGTCGCATCCGGTAGGGTATATGTAACCCTCCATGGACGCAGGACATACACTACTGAACTTTTCTCGCCTGTTGTTGCCTTATTCTATTAGAAAATATCAAAAGGCTCACATTATCTGCCCATATCGTGATTACTCCTAATACTGATCAGTGCTAGCGTCACTGCTGTGGTGGAGCGTTTCCCCCTTCACCCCCGTCCGCCGGTCGAAACCCTTAACTTAGCTGCGCAGGGACAAAAAAGCTGCATTCTAATAAATTGTTAGTAGAGTCGGCGGAAACGGTAGACAAACGATGGAGACATATAGGAGCGACATGTGGTCGCAATAATATCTTTTCCGGTGTCGTTCGTTTTCTGTCTGTCTAACGACTAGCCAAACAGTCTCTCGACTGCTCATCGTATGGTAACCGCTAGCGTGCGCGCCTAATGCATAGACTCCCTCCGTGATGAGGTAGCCCAGCACATTAGACGGCTCATCACATTGTCACCCCATTATTATCACGATCGCTACCAGCATATGCGCACGCTATGAGTGCTGTCTTAGCAGATTAAATTGGCTTCTATACTTCTCACAACCACGGCTACCTGGAATTAACTAGAGTTTTAATTCTAATGTACTATATAGCATATCTACATTACATATAAATGTTACCGTTTTCTCTGTCCAAATATATGAATATTGCCTGTTCCTTACCTTACACACGAAGACATGCTTTGTGTAGACTTCAACCGTAAAGACAGCTGGACAGATTGGCAATCACCTGTAGATTACGGGCTCTTAGCTTACATCTTGTGCCTTTAAAACATTTTATGTTAGCCGTTGACTATTCAAATCGGGAAGCACAGGCCACCCTCGCTTTGTTGATATCGTCCGGATGACTGTTCGGAGATCTGATCTTAGGCCCACGCACTATAGGCCTATAGTGGAATAGGGACTACCTCGCTTGCGAGCATTATTCGTGTTATAGCACCTTTTTTTCCCTAAAACTATACGCGATTTCTCGACGTTGTCAAACACCCAACTGCTTTGCCATTCGAACACTACTAACTTGCAGTTCTCGTGGCGAAAGCAAAAAGGTGTTAATGAAATAATTTTTATTAAAGAGCCAGCGTTGGTCGCATAGTGATCTATCTACATTTTTTTTTAACCTAAAGGAATCACTAAAAGTGACCTTCATTAACTCTACTTTTACACGTTACGACGGTCAGGACTATCAAGCACCGGTGAATGGAAAGGAGCGATTTTATTTGGTCCATTTTGCACTTATCAGAGTCGGCTCTTTTCGGTACCGGTATAATTATCGCCGTATCATAAAATTTAATTAAATCTGTGCCAGAAACCATCATACATCAAACGGAGCTTTGTAGGTCAGCAAAAAGAATTTTGAAACAAATGAATTAGGTATCATTAAAAATAGCGCCGAGAGGAACAGAGGGTTTAGGTTGGGATAGCATGCTTAGGCAGACCATTTAAGCTGAAAGATGGTAGTGGCATCGGAGTATGCTGTCTCTTTGTCCGGCATTATCACCGGACGTGGCAGCTAACACAAGCAGTACGCTGAATAAAACTGGATGTTTACATAACCCTTACTTCAATTCTCGTTGTCGCAATGTCGCGGGCTTACTTAGTCTGTATCTGTTGTGGTTCCACCGGACAGATTCCTGCAGCCTGACGCCTCAAACAACAACCGCTATCCTTTCGCCAATATAACTTCGCTGCGGCCCTTTTAGCTATAGCGTTCGGACAAGAATCGCTATAGCCTACCAAACTTCAGATTGTCGGATTGCAGTGCATGCATGCATGCATGCATGAATATTGTATCGGAGAGACTTTTCGAAAAAGAATATCGTTCAAAAAACACAGGCTTGAGGCGGACCTAAAGCAGCGTGCAGACTTTATTAACGTCCTATACAGGATTTGGATGCGCAGAGATATCGTGCAGGCCTATGCGGTAGGTGGTAAATAATTTGACCAAAAAAAAACAGCGACATATAATGAAGACTCGGAGTGGTCAATTGATTTCGGTAGTGTATATGATAGGTAATATATGGTATGACTTGTAGGGGGTCATACTATAAAAAACAATTAGCTTCTAACTGAAATCTTGTCCGATAGAATTAAATCCTATATAATCAGAGTAATATAATCATTGTCTAGTAGAGCATTTCAAACGCAGAGTCGAACACAGCTATCGCCAGCGAAGCGCGCCATTGTTGTCTTCAATTCGTTTATAAGCCGTTAAATCATTCTACGATAATTAATGCCTGTTGCCATTATTCTATTACATCACTGACAGAAGTGGGTTACATTTCGAAGGCATGCTTTCTGCTGATGTATAACTTAAGGCCTACCTGCGTAATTTGATTATATGCTCCTTAATTTTGTCATTATATTGTGAGCAGAGGCGAGCTGACGGCGTAAACAATTGTTTAGAATGAACCAGCTGGCCCATGTGAACAAGCGCCGCTTCGGTCGAAGTTGAAGGAAATCTATTATATTTCGAGTCTTTAATTGGGCTGCTATTTGTAACTTGCAGCAAATTGGGCCTTGGGTTTCTCCATTCCTCTGATGGCATAAATACTTTCTACTATATAGTTCATTTGGCTGCTTTCAGAATCAAAGCTTGCTGCGTAACTAAGGCTACAATGATCTCTAAATTGAGATTTGAAAAGCTTTTTAATGTCAATAGGGCCTTGCCTAGTCTTGCAGCAAACGCAAAGACTAGTATAGCTGTTTGGCTAAAGAGGGTTTAGTGAAAGCCGGACCCAGCTTCGAATTGTATGGGGCGGGAAATTGCTTGCTTTCAGTAGGAAGGGTATATTTCCATATGTCCATGTGTATTTGACTGGATGCATACGCTTTTTTTGTGGTATCCAGGCTTTTTGAAAACGCAACACGCAAGATTGTCGATAAAAAGGCGAAGACTTGCTGGAAAATGCTAAGAGAAGTTCACATCAATCAGCAATCTCTTATGGATTCTGTTGTTTTACTAGCTTCTTCGAATGTCTGAACTGAAGCCGGTATGGTACGTTAGCTTCTACCATATTGGTGCACTATCAATTTGCTGTGGCCTTTATATAGCGACTATATAGTAATGCAGGCTAAATTACGTCTAAACTTTATCTGATTGAAGTAGGGATTTTGTTTAATTAGACAGACACAAACGAAGCACCAGCCGCACGCCAGATAAAATAGCGAGAACACTTTCGAGCACCGGCCCCGCGTAAATAGCGTTTATATTAATTAAGACCAATTTAATTAGGGTCTTAAGACTTTACGCTTCACGAATATAACTCATTGCTTTCTGCTAACTTACGTAATGTCTGCTTTGAACTATATAGCATAAATACAACGCACTAGTTAGAAAATTTGCTCCATTCAGCGCACTGAACTATGATCGTTTTACTAAGACTTTCCATACATCTGTTTTATCATATTATATCGTTCATTGACCCCCAGCTTATAGAAACGCCACTCTACTTAGCATCAAGCCACAGATATATAACGTTTTGGCCTAATAATTCACTGAGAAAAATTTGCATATTGAAAAACACGGCGTACCCCCACTTATCAGAAAGGACTTAAATAGATACAATGCGACACAACATTGTTTACTAGAACATGTATGTATGCTAGTGACATATTAAGACTGTTTCGACGGAAACAAGAATCAGTGCAGAATAGTAAAAGAATTATTCTAGCCCGAGCCAAAGCAGGAATAATAAGCTAAAGTGGCTGACCACCTAGTCCTTACCACTTCAGTTTAGCTTAAGAGTAGCAACGAGCTGCCTTAGAAGGGAAAAACATAGCTTGAAGTGTCTTCTTTAGTAGGTAGATTGTCGTCGTAGAGGGAGTAATCGAAGCGATCCTGACATAGGGGGTAGAATTCTCAGCTCAGTCATCCTTGCCCAGTCATCGCTAGTTACCTCTCACCAGCCACTGGCAAAGACCTTTATTGCTGCCTCGGGCTAGAGCAAACATCTCCTTGATCATGCACAACGCTCTCTGGTTTCAACCACTGCCATCACTTCTAAAGCCGCCATTGCTACCATTGCCGCCCCGTCTGAACATTGCACAGAAGAAGCAATGGCGTCCATTACGCACGCCGCAGAGTTAGAAAGACAGACCGATCGAGAAGGGCGTAACATTTCTGGCGGACACATACAGAAATTTACACATACTCGACTGATCCATACACGCTGTTACACACATTAGATTAGATTATTACAGCATTAGAATAAGGTGGGGCAATAATACACCCCATAGAGGTCGCCGATAGCGTTCTGTCTTTTGATAGTTGTAGTGTGACACTTTACTCAGCTGCCACAGAGCTGGCAATCTGTACTTAGTAATCAATAATTTTTATTCAGCTACATAAATAATATATCTTGTGATCAAGTGTGTCGCATAGAAAAGAGCAGCTGTTTTTGATAGCGGCCTACCTCATGGCGTACCTCTTGCTAAACACAGGTATGGTTTCAAAACCGCCGGGCTAAATGGCGTCGCCAAGAAAAAATGGAGTCGTCCTGTGGAGGATCCGACGGTAAATGTGGCTTCCTTCGTATACTGCCGACCCAAAGTTACCCGACGCTCGGTTCGCCTGAATGGGCTGCCGCGACAGCCAGGCATCGTGCAGGACTTTCTGCACAACCACATTTATCAGCAGCAGGTGTCGTTTCAGGAATTGTACCAGCTATAAGGGCTGACACGTCTCATCCATTGCTTGCGCCCGTTACCCCGGCCACACCAGTCTTTCATAGAACGTGTGTACTATTTACCTTGTCGTTACTGCAAGTTTTTTTCCATTCGACTTGAATTTTTTCATTAATAATACTACGCTAAAAAAATTTACGTTAAACTAAAATGCTTTTGAATAAGCCGTGCCTTATTAGCGTGAGTCTAACACAAAGGGTCCTGAAAAGGCAAAGTTGTTCTCACAGAAACTTATATAAATGAATGACACGTCCGATATCAATACGTTTTATGTGACCGTTAACTATTTTTCTTGCATTATCGGTTGCAGGTACTTGAATCAACATCAATTTACATCGCTTTTGTTGACTCCTCAGACTTCGAATCCTTCTGCTGTTCCACTGAATCTTAGTAAAGAACTAGCAATATCTCCAAACTCAAGCTCGAAGCTAGGAAAATCGCCAAATCCGGCCCTGGACATTAAAATTGAAGTCGAAGATCCGGTCGATGTTGAGGGCGACGGTGGGCCATCGGTCGAGTTGAGCCTAGGCCAGCCAGAGAAGAGTTGTCATACAAGTTCATAGGGGAATGACAATTTTGCCCGAAACATTCATAGTTTGTGCTGACGCTAAAAGTGGCGATCTTATCTCGTAGCACAGAAATTAGTAAAGTGACACCAAAAGTGCTTCGCCTGTAGATAAACAAAAAATCATCCCTAAACAAAGAACACGATCATCGGCGCAACCTGATTGCTGCTTTCCAAAAAAAGAAATCAGCTTTCCGTTTATATAGATGCTCGCATGTTGTTCTAAACACGATATGGCGAACTGTGCCGAAATAACTCACAACCAATTTGTGTGAATATAAGTGCAATATCATTGCCATGAACAAAAACTGTGTTTTCCTTCGAGACAGTAAGTAACTTAAAGCTAATATTAACTTATAGAACCCTCGAAGTTCAAGGAATTCTTATATGACTAATGGCTTTAATTTATTTATGAATAGCTTTAGTCGCCTGGTTCCATAGGATAACAAGAGGTATCCTTCAGATGACGTGGCTTCGTTGTTCTATTCATTCACAATCATTCGAAACTCGCGTATTGCTGGGACCGGAAGTGGGTGGTGAAGGGCTTCCGGTACGAAATGCGATTGAGGGAGAAATCGTTTCTTGTGGAGACCGGTTTCTTATGCAGGATAGCCGCGTGGCCCTCTGTTCGTATGGTCATACTTAGCAACTTATGCAATAGCAGCAGTAATAATAGGGACGATCAGAATGGTGAGCTGACGAGGCCTGTTAGAAACTCTTGAAAACTTTAGCAATTCAGGATGTCCTGCTTTTCAATGATGTCTAAATAGAGAGCCTTTGACACCTAATGGGAAATGTGCATTACAAGCAAATGATTTGACAGTTAGTAAATTTTGTCTGCTGCTTTTTTTCTTTCGATTAAGATATTTTTATAATATACTGAGCAGGTGCATGGGTAACAACTATAATCACTTAATCTGCTAAACTTCCAAACATTTTATATGAATACATTTGATGAAACGATTAGGATCACTTATAGATTGAAGGATACGCATACGTTACCCTCAAACATTATTTTCCGCTCAACACTTATATAGCTATTGGCAGATTTACGATATCTCTACATGTTTTAGCTGCTATAAAAAATATACTCCTCCAGTTTCAACCGGTCAGTATTTTTTGATCTGGGGAGGCTTCTAAATACAATAGCACGGATCGTTATGCGACTCATCGTGTTAACTTCCTAAAGAAAAGGATTAGAATTAAAAGTTTTGGCATTTGTTTTGGTATACACATGGTACCACCGTGAAATTTTGGTCTAATCGATTGATTTCGATTGTAAGTGTATACGGTTACTGATTTTAGGTCTTTCGCAAATAAAATAGTCTCATAAACAGTTATGCAAAATTTCTAGGTAAGTCATTAAATGTTTAGACTGAATTTGTTTGTAGACACTTTTGACATTTTGAATACGGGTACCTACAGTTTCACGGTAAATGTTGGAAGTTAAGTGTCACCACGTTGGGCCTCTATGTTGACGAAATACCAGTAAATATCGAGACATTTATTTAATAATGATAAATTTAAGTGATAATTAAATATTTTTAGGACTTTGCTGGCTGGCGAGTATCTGTAGCTCAAACTGATATACTAGGATCGCAATAAATGGTATATTTTTGAAATGGTACTTACAGATCTAGAGTTAGTTTCAGACATTTTCTTTACTAGAAATGGAATCTGACATTCATCAATTGTCATTACAAGCCCAGTCGAGATGTAAAGGCATTGTACTTAGTATATTGGGCATCTCAGGAAAAATAGGAGGACTCTTATCTGTAGCATGTATAAATCCTAATTGGCGTCTTTTACTTAGATGGGTAAAAGCGTTTACTCCATGCCATTTTGTTGAAATGCGTATTTTCACTCGTAACTGGAATATATGGAACTGACTGATGCATACCACATTCGTCTAAATATAGGAGGAATATGTGACCTCACCAAAAATATATGGCCCTAGGAGCGATATCTATTTTTGAAAATTCCTGATTATCCCGTCCCTAATTATTGAGCTAAGTGTCTGAGAGAAACTGACCTTAGATATTCTAAAAAGCGACAGTCTTTTAGGCAGCCGAATGGGTCTCATCTCGAAGGGCAACATACTGCCGTACAGATCTCTAGTTCGATTCGGATACAACAAGCGGTATAGGCACAGAAGCAGTATTTGCGCTTGTATAGAGCGCGCAAAGCGCTGATGGGCGTTCTAAGTGGTCCCAGGGTGAAAAAATAAAAAGTAATTTTTATGCTTGTTAGCCCAGACGGTTTAATTTACATGAATAACAGTGTTAATCAAGTGTTGTTTCTCGGACCGCCCACGTAATTTGATGGGTCTCACGTATTTTTGAATTACAGCCTCGAATCCTTCAGCGTCAATTTCTCTAATCACTTTACCAATACACTAGTTCAACTTGCAGATTGTTTTTTAGCGTTTGTTCTATAAACAGCGTCCTGCAAGGAAGAAAACCGAGAGAGATCGAATTGCGTCACCTTGACGCTCACCCAGTGTCATCAGGTGCGTCGTGTACGGCCAGCCCAGGAAAATAGTTTTAAGCCGATCGATTCTCCCCCGCTATGTCTTTTAACCAGAGGTTATTGTTTCCATTCAATACCCTCGCTCCGCTCCACAGTCATAGGGCCGGTGAGACGTTCGCTCCAAAATGCGCATCACACGGTGATTTTTGACGATGAAGAAGTTTCACAGCACTTATCCTTGGGCTCTCGATGTTTCAAGTGCGACAAATTTGTTTATTCGTACCTCCATCCAGCTACAAATGAACTTCGCTAGATAAGACGATGTGACTGGTTCGTGCAATGCGCTTCAGCATCTGATCAACATGCATATGACAGCTTCGGATCCTATAATTAAGTCTACTCTATTTTGTAAATATGAACATGCTCATCGATAGGCGTCGCGTTGAGATCGCTGGATTGGTGTACATAATGCTTTTTACAGCGGCGATGTTGTGTTTCGTTAACTCGGTTGTCACTCTGGCTTCGAACTACATGCGGATGAGCTCACCTCTTTAAATTGTCGCAGCGTTTCCTGCGTCGTGTCGTCCCTATTCTGTGAGATAATTAGTGAGTTAGTCATATAGTAAGTTTTTACAAAAGGCAAACGCTATCTTAGATTGTTGCGTTCGATGATCACCTTTATTTTTGTCATACAGTCTGCTAGCGTCTACTTGTTTACAAACACAGCAAAAAAAGGGACGAAATAGACTTATATAATACGTTTGAAAAAAAATCACTATGCCAGCGTTGTCTTCTATTCTGTAGTAGTTCCATGCTTTATTAAACCGAGTTAAAAAAATTAATTAAAAATATCCTTTGATAATAATTCAAATGCACGCCTTAAATGCCGCAGTACCAAGGTACGTAAAACCAATTAGAAGATGTATGTGTATGCAGCCGATCGCTCTCTATCTCAGTAAATTCGCTGACGATGCTTTGAAAATGCAGCTCCCCGTGCGTCCGCTTTCTTTCTTTCCAGATAGGTTTACATAACCACCCACCTACCCAAGCAGCAAGATGGATCAGATGTCAGCGTGACGACCCGAGTCAATGGGCATCTCAGAAACAGATCCGTAGTCTGACTATGCTTTGACCGATGTTCATCGTAGGTCTTCCGAAAGTACAAAAGCGAGTCGGTCTTGTAGTCTTGTCCAACACGATCGGAAGCTATATTGAGACTGTATATGTGGTTATTCGTATATAGGAGCCTACTGTTGGAAGTGCTGTTGAGAAAATACTCAACTCCTTCATGTTCCTGTCATCTTCAGATCTCGCCTTTCCTGCTCCAGGCGGTCTCATGCTGAGAACGATAAAGAGGAAAAGTTCCATATGTATATATATATATATATATGTATGTATCGAATAGTACTTACACATCTTAATCGCTCAGAATGGAACGTAATAAAGATTACTCTCTTTTTCAAGATTACTCTGCTTCATAATGGTGCGACGTTTTTTTTTCCACTCGGAATGCACTTATACTTCTTAAAATCTAAAGGCGCTTACTCAGACAGCATCATCCGAGGTTTTAGTGGGCAAATCAGAAAAGTACGGATGTTTACACTCAGATTTAGTGTAAGAAAGTAGTTATTTACGTTAATAAAATGGATAGGTAGCTATTGCATGATCTAAGCGATAATCGAGAATCGGTCTGATTCATTCATCGATAAGCAGAGACGCCTACACAAGCGAGCTGTTTGATGATCTCGACCCTCACACCGTAAGCGTTACGGTGATAAAAATGCAACACTTGCAGTTAAAGCTTCTTTATTACCGACCGTACTAGCTAGACATTGGTCCAGTATAGTGCCTATTTTTTCTTCGAAAAAATTGCTACAATTTTTCAGTAGGAAAATCAGCAAACGTTGTAGTTGGAGGCTTCATAAACACACGTAACCCGAACTTTACAAAATATATAAGTTATAATTCAGACAGCAGGTTAGAGGTAGTAATGGTTGATACTTGCTTTCGAAATAGAAGAGGCACGTTTTTGAAGAAAATGAGCCGAATAATTTACTATATGCTTGTTTATTCACGGTAAAATGTGACAGTTGATACCGTTTTGATACCCCTCCTTTGCCGTTGCGTATCGCACTCAGTGAACGCACTCAGAAAACTGATTTCAGTATATGACAGAGGTGTAGTACAATCGTCGTATTCGTAGTGACAATAGCAAGAAGAGACTCTATCTCTATGCTAACAACTTGATCTTTACGGTACTTATTTTCGATAGGCCGATCTTTGACCATATCGAGCATCGAATATGGATAACGTCTTGTTCGAACAAATCGACTAAAATGCAGCCAATCTTTGCTTGTGGATGAGTAAATCCATAGAAGGTGGCTACACGGCGCTTGATCCCATCCCATCTGACTGTGTTATTGATGGGCTAAAGTTTTACTTACGCATTTCAGCATTTATTATGCTACTAAAACAATATTTTGGTTTGGTAATAAAGAGGTAAGTTGACATGTTGAATAGAAAAAGCTGGCATAACGACAAATGTATAGTTCATAAAGTGGTTATTTCGTTTGGCCCTGATTGCGTCCTAAATTTTACTGCCAACGTAAGATGTTTCAGTCTTAAGGTTAAGAGAAAATTTGTTATGACAAAATGTATTTTTGGTCAGACCCATAATAAAAATAGGTCGGCTTTTTTCACGTAGTAACCTTTGTGACTTCGTCACGTACGCTTAATAGGCACATGTGTACTGTACCAATATGCAATTGACTCAATTTTCTAATCTGTATGCTCCCAAATAGGTCATTAATGTAGTTGTGACAGCAACCACGCTACCTGGCCTAGGTACAAGCCTGTCAATCGACTCAAATTGAATAGAAAGCCGAACTCAATCTGGTTCCTGGTACGTGGACATGCGGGAATCGATGATCTATCCTGATCAGTTCAGTAGCACCTTAAACGGTGTGCACACAAGTGAATCTATGGGCTATACCATTCGTATGGTGTGGGAAAGGAAGAGTTTGGGGCTAGAGGTTCCCAAGAAGGAATGAGTTCCAAGCTGTTCGGGAAGGCGGAGAAAACGAACGCTGCTGCAATGATGAAGCAGCGACGAGCGGATTAAGTCAATTAGTGGAGATTAGTAGCAACCCTTTACTTATTTGGCGGACGTGCCAAGGCTGATGCCGGGCCGCCTGCTTCGCTGCTGGCCTGCGTTGCTTCTCGCTCGCCCTCTAGCTGCTTCTGTCTCTGATGCCTGCCAGCCAGCCAGCCAGCCAGCTCCTGCCCGCCGCTTAGAACCCCCCGCACCCCTGTTAAGCGGACAGCAGTTTTCCCTGCCAGCAGCAACCGACCCACTTTCCTTCATGTTGAGGGCGGGATTGTCGAAAACCCTCCAAACTCCCATCATGATGCGCATACCTACGTATAGCATTATTACTACCGCTACCTTTTTTTGCCATACACATATGTACATGCATGTTCGTGTAGTATAATGCGAAAGGGAGACATCAGCCATTGAAGGAGCGGCTTGGCAAGATGTTGAATGCCACTGTAGTAATGGCCACGCCTCCTTTAGCAACAGGAAGCCCGTGCAATTGTAGTTCCTAGTTGTTGGACAATTACTCCTAGCCGCTGGCTAGATCCACCCACAGAAATCCACTAGTTTCTACAATCCACTATTAATTACCCAGTCTAATTATACGGCATTTTATCCCTATCCTATCGTACGAACATCTACGGTCGAACGACTCGATCGAGTAAGACGATCTACCGGACCACGTTTTAATGGTGTTCTTAGTAAAATTCATTTAAACGCTAAGTGAAAGGATATCTAGCATATAAATAAACAGTGCCCTTTTTTATTGTTCGCGAAAATCGTACAATATAGATTACTTAAAGTCTTTGAAAGATCCCTTTGTTAAATCGGTGGCTTAGTCACCCCAGTCAGCATATTGTGGATGGATGCTTTTCGTCTGTCGTTAGATAGGACTGATAGAGTGAAAGCTATACGCATGGGCAAAATACCCGTATTGGATGGACTTCGAATAGCGGAGTTTACCTATTTGTTTTTGTTAAATGTTTATGCCTCTGATTTGCCTATAGCGGCCTATAGCTGAACGTCATTGTCCTAGCCAACCGAATACAGTTGAACGAACATGCTTCGTCTGCAATTAGGGCTTCCCCTACAATTAGAGGATGATTTGAGTGTTCTTAATGTTTGCGTTTGCGACTTTAAACGGTAGCAAGCAATTGCTCTGTCATCTCTATAATATGTGCTTTATTAGTCGAATAGGGAACGCAAAACGACCATGCGGTTGGGAGATTGACGCTCGATTTAGATAAACGAATAGAGAAAGGGAAGCATATCAATAATAGGTTGGATTAAATACAATATATATGTGTATGCATACGAGGTGTGTTTTATGACCCAGTTAGGTGCTTGGCCAAATAAGGGCTATCATCGTTTGCACTAATTGCATAGAGCATCCCTGATAGAAGTCAGCGAGGTTAACAGTATTCTCCTGAATATATTAGACGAATGAGAGCCCTTATGCGTGTTGAAGGCCAAATCCAGCTTTAAGTACGCGCGTCTGCATTTAGAAGTGAATGGAAAACATTTAGGCTAAAATTTTTTCCACTGCATGGCAATATGTTGCACTCGCTGCCTGTACGGCCCACTATCTATTATCAGTTGAATAAACTTGTCTGCGACACAAGGTACAATGGGCCTAGCAGCGTTTAGCCGGCTTTTCCTGATCGAAAGGCCTAGCTAAAAGGATAGAACCAATGCAAAGATTCGAAGCCTCACTACCAGACTAATCATAGTATTACATTTAATCATATGAAAATTCTAATCTGTTACAGTTAGAAAATTATATGGATCGGCAGGAGGATCGTACGTTCGTTATCGGCGACCTGGTATCACCTGCATCTAAACTCAACGAAGTTGTGTTCAATTGAAATGTCGTCGTTTGTTCAGAGCAGCCGTGACTCGTAGACATTCCCTAAGCCTTAGACTTGGAAATGACATTCGCCTCTACCTGTTGACCGGCTGAAACAGAACAGAGACAAACAAATATCAAGATCGGTCAGCTTTTCACACGGCCGACGTTGAAACAAATCCACGAACCGCAGATCACCATACACAATCAGTAAGTGACTAAAGCCAACCCCTTGCTGCTCACGAAAAAGTAAATACTCTAGCCGTTATACAATTCAGTAAGTTATAATTACTTCAATAACTACGTGTTTACTAGAACGATCAGAGGTTATCCATGTTAAACAAATTCAAAGTCCTCTCCTACAGAAATACTGGTAGCTTGATCTTTATTGCTTTTTTTTTTTTACAAAGGCAACTAGCCGATGAGAACAATGTCTCTTCTAAATAAAATCTAGCCAAAAATGTAAACATTTAAGCGGTTGAATTTATTTAGAGACGTCTACTTTTTTCCTTTATCAAGATAATTACTTTACTAAATTGTATTACTTTATGTTATAGTCTATTATAAGCGCTCGCTTTCAGTATCGCTTCAGAATGAGAAGAACGTTTAGTGCAGGATGAGCTTAGTCTCAAGCATCGCTCGTGCGAGCCAGAAAAGCATCTAAATCATTGTACTGAAACGTGGGACAAATGTCCCGTTACGTGTTAGAAACTCTTCATTGCTTATAGCTCTATGCGATCTTTCTTCCAATCAATCACACGACCCCTTTGAAAAGGAAAACATTTTCAATCGATCGCCGTTAGGGTTCCTAAAAGCTGGTAGAATCTCGTGTTATAGCTTTTAAATAATTGAGCATTGTCCTGTTTTAGCACATTTGAAGCTAGTCAAATAAAACATGCTTTATATTTCAAAGAAATTCAGTTGATTATATGCCGAACTCTTCAGTCAGCACATCATAATATTCACTCCTTACATTGACTTTATCTACTTTAAAAATAGGGCCTTCTATATATATATATATATATATATATATATATGCATACAATTATGAGAATAAATGTTCTCCCGACTTCCCTTTTGAAGGAAACGATTTAGCTTTGAATGTTTGGATTGCTTAGATGGTTTATGTAGCCGCTTAGTAACTTATCTTCGGCATCAAATGATCGTCGGCTGCCATTAATGTGGGATTATTTGCCAAAATTCATGATTATACCCTGTAAATACGTAACTGCAAGTTCGTTTTCTCGCGATGACCGCAGATTTGAAAATTATGATATTGAAGTAGAAACTGTACCTGTGTGCAATCCTGTAAGGTTTCCGCTACGGCCAATAACATCACCGAATAATCCCTGATCGCCAGGTCCTTGCACGGGACCTGTTGCTGATCTTGGCTCAAAGAAGTCTAAATTTTCAAGAACAACGTCCGCAGAATATGTTACCGAGAAATAGGCGAGGGATCTACTAGCTAGGGGAAAGGGGTAGATAACGAGGCTTATATTAAGATAAGTAGGGATATTTTTTCAACTGATAGAAATAGACGCAATGTCTCACTTGGATTCTAGCAACAAATGAATTAATTACGTACATATTCGCCGCCACTCATCATGGTTTCCCTCCATCTTTCAGCCAATCCGTCTACCCTTTTTCGATAGAAGTTTCGCCATTAAGGAACGTATACAAATGGTTTTTGAAATTGTCTTTACTATCAAACGCACTATTATAAGTTTTAATTACTAGTAGCTGGCAAAGATAATTATTCGTTGGCATGGCTTCTGAGAAATATGGTAGTTGCAAACAATCCTGTTACTCAAGCTCTTGTAGGTAGATTTTAACGACATTTTATAATGCATAATCTAGCTTTATCGTGGAGAGAAGTGACTTTAAATGGATAAACGGCTTTTTTTTTCGTCGAGGCTCGGTCAATCTATAGTCATATAGGGTTTCTTGTTGGCCGTCTTATGTTTTTCGAACATTTTCCAATACGTAAAGTCTCACCAAAGGGAAATCATGGTCCCTTTGGGATAGAGATTTGCTTAACTCTGGACTTAAGTGTACTTCTCGAAGCTATTCACTCCCTTCTTTGCTTTATAACAACGTGGGGACAACGTTCCCCGTCATCCGTAACACTTCTGTGTAGAAACCCATTATGGTGGCAGCGTATTGCCTGATGCTAGGCGAGGTGTTGAGGGTTGAGGGAAACTAGCCTCTGAAAGGAAGTTACACGCAGCTCATGAAGTACTCTAGTACGCTCCTCATTTCTGATAAAATTTCGTACATTTAAGTCGCCTGGCAACGATCAAATCGTGGTCGATCCTGTCGGCCAATTAACGACTCATTTGCCATTTGGGGCATCGGGTCGCAGATTGGAACAAAGTACATCTTCCAAATCCAAGATGCCTAAGCCAGCGCAGTCCTCTCCGTTGAAGAGTTCTTGCTGTACGCGGCGCAAATATCCCGGGCAACTTAGACAGCTCTCTGATTTTGACAAAGAGCAAACTAGAAAAGGTGTCAAAAACAAGGCACTTTTTTCATAAGGAACAGTCATCTTTGGAGCCTCTATGTTTCAAATATTACGTCCGGTATACGTCGCCGTTAGACATTACATCAAACGGCTGGCTCCCAGCACGAAACGGAAGTGTGTCCGTGCCTAGCTTCAAACCTAGACGTCAGTGTGTCCCTAAGATTAGCAGGCAAATACTTCACCCACTACGCTATCACGGGAACTATCTAGGGGTCTTAAACTCAACGTAAAATTCCGTTCATTACACAATGAAAATACGACAAGTTTAAAGAGGAGAGCACTAGCGGATAGCTTACATAAGTAAATAAATAGTGGAAAGAAAAAAAGAACAAGCAAACGCCTTTATCGCTTGAGATTTTCCTAAAAAAAAACTATCCGTTTTATGATAGATTGTCAGTCGATCTTTAAGAGCCAAGCGGATTAGCAAGCAAAACGTATGTATGAAACAAGTAAAAGTACATATATATGGCTCTAAATTAACCAGAAATAGAATACGCCTAATTGTTATTTAATTATTACACTGGATATTACATTTAAATGATAGCAACATATGCGAGGTAACACGGAAATCGTGGGTCTAGTTGATCTGGGATTTAGCTGAGGGAAGCTTGCTTGACAGATGTTAAAATAAGCTAAGACCACAATGAAAGAATACTGAAATGTTGCTTTGATTTCGAAGTCCTCTTGTTGTCATTCCGAATAACCTGCAGAGCTCGTCCAGGCAAAAAAACAGTAAGTTACCTTAATTTGATTTAGTTAACTTTTAAAAGCGGTATTAGTGCTAGAAACATGGTAGATAATTACCTTACAGATTGAGGCAATGTGCTGCACAGTAAAAATAGATCTACATCACTATTATTTGCTATCAAAATACCAATATCAACAATATATGTATGTCTCTTAATGTAAATAACAACTGGTTTACGGAATAATTACGCGGTCTGTCATCTGTTTCGACCGCAGGGAGTAACAACTAAACAGTTACAGATGAATACAGACAACTACCATATTACGCTTTTTAGAAAATACGGAAAAATGCTCGATTCTTCATCAGACACTAACTTTGACGGTCCCTCTCGCTTTACTATAAGACAATTGTAAATAATCCTGTAGATTTTCTAGTTTTTATAAAAGGTTGATGTTTAAATCTTGCTTATCAACACTAAGCCTTATCTTTACTTGCTGTATTTACTACGGTAGATTTTAGCTTAAGCCAGTGTTTTCTATTTTTTTGTGGTAGCATCCACCTGCTCTCACGCTCTTTCGCGTCTAATGATCCCAAACGAGTACAGATAGAGTATTGCAACCAGCTATAGCGTTCCATATTTTGTTACGAGGATGACAATGATTCTACGTCCGCCACCCTCTACTTACATTCGTATTTGTTTCCTATAAGAAGTGTTTGACTACCCGGCCAGCTCGTCATAAGGAAAATGTCACATATTGGGAGAAACAATCCTCTCGAACGTCATTCTTCGATACGAACCGTTATTCAGCTTTCAGAGCGTTAAAGAACGTGTAACACGTGCCTATGAGGTGAACTGAACGATAAATCGTAAACTATTCCAAATAAAATTTGCAGCTTGTTCTCTTATGGAAAGAAGAAGAGAGGCTTGATTTGACTTAACCTTATTGGTATTTAACACAGGCCCTAACCAGATAACCCTATGTACAACCCTAGATTTGCCGGATCGTAAGTGCTGTTCAGTTCAACGCTGAGTTGTTAACAAACAAGAATGCTCTAAATGTGTGAATGGTCCTCAATGCTTCGATCTCAATCTCTATGTGAATGATGAACATTTGCAAGTGAGGATTCGTAACAAACAGTATAATGAATGCTCTGCTGTTCAATTGAAATGTTGTTTATTTCCTTAAAACAGGATGAAGCTGTCACAAGATAGGTGCATGTTGGCGCATGTGAGTCTGTCTAGCTGGATCCTTAATTGTGGCATTGAGGCTTACCTTGTGCCAGTTGCTGGAACGGTTGAAGTGCGGCGCTGAAGAGCCGTCCGCCAACTTCAGCGAGGCCAATGAGAGCTTTCTGTCCTGCCTGTGCCAGTCCACTGAACGTCCCTAGAGGTTCACTTTGACCGTTCCCAACAAGGCCGTTTAAAGCAGGAAATATATTGGCCGGATTCGGTTGAGCTCCTGTGTTAGCGACGGCTTGATGTATACCTACATATCGAATCGTTGTAGAGAAAGAGAGGAGCAAATGGATATATTTGCAGATAGGGATGATGAACCCGTCATTTTCCTGTGGTCAAGGTTTACGTATTTGATGTAATCAAAAGGTGACTCAATGTCGAAGCACAAACTAACGAATGAGGAACAGAACTATTGATGTCGTGGGCCAGCCTAGAAGGTCTTTGCTAAATTGAAATATAGAACCTGAATTTGATCCATCAATGAACTGTTCTTAGGCGAATTTATAATAAGTGATTTCCTAGTCCCATGAGCTTCGTAATATTAGAGACTGATGCTGTATTGAAATTTGTGAAAAAATAATCCCTATTGCTTTTTTCCTGCATGTCGGGTATATTTCCACAAGTCAGATCACAGCAATGGCAGTGTTTCGGAGGTATGCCGTAACTGACTATCTGTTTCTTCCCTTCAATGGCGACATACGTTGAGTCCAGCATGATTAAGCAAGGCTTCAACTTTTATACCACGGATATCAATTTAACCACTATATATTTTCAAAGTCAACAGAATATCAACGTTTGTAAGTTATCTAGTGTCCCAGTCGCTCATTCCTCTTTCCATTTCGTTGAGCATCACATTGACAAATATACGATAGGCCAACGTGTCTCTTCGAGTGCTTGAATCGTTTTATGCCTTCGAGGACTATTAACGTATTAGCAATCACACCCCCTCTAACCTATTGATTCAAATTATACAAGGTTGGCTTGTCAAAGAAAGGACTCGTTGGTTTCCGTGTGCCATTCACACCAATTATATATTGCTTCGATTTTTATATGCTTCGAGGAACGGCAGTACAGGACGTAATACTCAAAACATGAACCTAGTCATACATATATAATAGTGATAATATAATTCCCTAATCAGTTTCAGCGAGTTACTAAATATTTCAGCTGATCGTGTCTGTCCCTTTAATAGACAACCTCACGTACTTTATGTGACTTCAGCGCTTCACAGTGCGCTTCGTCCGTGCAAGCAAATAACCGATAAACGTCAAGAGCGACTCGGAAAGTTCACGGTTTTTGCGATTGGGCCGCCTTACCCACCCGCTCGCTTACTTTTACGCTTCTAATAGAAGTAGTCGTTATTGTTATTGCTGGCTCTTTATGAGATCACAGCGACACTGATGGCCGCGGTAAGGATTATAATGATGGTGATGGGGCTTACGTTGTTTGGCTACCGCCACAATGCAACTCGATTGCCAGTCCTCCATGATGTCATAGCCTTGAATAAGACTTGCCAGCTGTGAGAGAAGGTTTTATCCGATCATCGGTCTTTCACACTGCCAACGCTAATGTTGGTAGCTCCACTGACCCCCTTCCTACTCTCATATATACGTTATCGCCACTATCATATATGCGTCTATCTATTTGCCTTTCGTCAGTTGCAGTAATACGTGTTTGAAATGGTATATCAATCTTTGAGCTCTTATCGCCACGCGCGCTTGTGCTAGTGGGCCTTATCTTCATGTAATCGTAATAACCATCAGATGCGATTCTGCAGAGATAGGACGCAAGTTGGTCACGAGAACGCTAGTAACAGCGATAGTACTAGCAACAAAGGGATAAGGCCATTCTGCGGCAGCTTCTTTGCCAAAAAATGACTGAACTTTCGTCCAGCTTTCGGCATCCATCCAATTGATCGCTCTGTGGAATATACCATGTTATTGTTGCTTGAAACTAACAGCAGATATCGATGGAGTGAGCACTTTCAGAGCACGGAGACAAGTGCCATTTTTTAGATCCTCATCGTAATAAGCCACACTCATTTTCGTTGTAGATGGACAAAATCGTCCGGTGATTACCATAGCTCTTAAGAAGTAAATCATCCTGCTATACAGTAATAATTGTAGAATGAATCTAAAAAAGTAACATCTATTTTTAGACAGAATTTTTGAGCGAACATATACGGTATCGCTATTAAATAAATTTTAGGGGAAAATCTAATTTTCAAAGGGTATTGGTAATTGGCAGAAGATTAATGTTTCACTTGGATCCACGTAAATTCTAGGACTAAATGTGTTTTACCGTAGAATTATTGCGTTACAAGATTTTTCTAATTTTTATTTCCATAATGTAAAAATAGCAGTCTCTGAAAAGACTTCCAGAACCATAATTACTCATTCAATAACGTATTCCAGGTATTGAAGTTTGCATATAAGAGTCGATACGAATTTATTTAGCAAGCCAATGAATGTCTGACACCAAAGCAAATTAGGGAAACTCTATTAAACCTAATATTTAACGATGGTCGTTGCATTTAATCGGCCAGCGGGCGACCTTTCGTTGCTTGTATCCTATCAGCTCTTGGCTCCTACCTATTTTACCTAGCGACCGCTGGTGGCCGTACAGCGGGGCCACTATATCGTAAACTTAGCACTACGGAATAGTCGTAGCAATGTAGGTAACTGGGTTTGTATACACGGTTGGCGACACTGGAGAGCAATATATGCACGTCGTACTTACTCAAAAAGTGGATATCCCAAACTGTACCCTGGATATTCTACGCTTTCAATTGTTTCTTTGAAGTCAGTCCTGGATTTAGGACAAAACAGCAATGCTATTTGGCAAGACAAAAGTATTGTTTCAGCCGTTATGGAGAAGTTTTTGACAAAATGATTCTAATGTGTATAATATAATGTCTTGGATCGAGAATTTCTATTAGGCAATAGATGCCGTTAATAAAAGTCTAATCAATATCAAAAAGCCATCTTTGTAACTTACGTCGAATTGGGCGAAAAATATTAACTCTCATCGAGGTAATAGTAACAGTGAGTGAAATGTTAAACCCAGAATTAAAATTAACTTATCAAAACGACGTTTGTATTCGTTCTGGTTAAGATTCATTTTGTATTTTCCTCGTTAAGCCTAACGCAATATCAGTCGTTTTAAAATGCACTTTACACTAACCTGGAGCGTATCCGATTTTTGGAACTTTGGCCGAATTCAAAAAATCTGAAGTTAATCCCTCAGACTTCTTCTCTTGCGCAAGGACGGTACAGCAGCATATTACAATAATTACTCCGAACTTGGACATTTTGGACGAGCGGCGATAATTCAACAACATACGTTTAAGACTCAACTTTCGAAAGGAGCTCGTGGAGTGCGCCACAGCGTTTCCTTGAATAAAATGATGCCATCGTGCTTCGGTGAGCTGCCTAAATTTCCGTGTTTTCTCCAACTACTTCGGCTAAAACGCGTCTAACAGCTACCGTGCCGCTATCTCTGACGCATTTAAGGAAGTTGCGAGAGAATGTCCGCTAGCAGCTCGTGCAGCTTCGTCTATCGTGCAGGTAATCAATAAACAGAAAATAAATATCACATCAGCATGAACGTCTATAGAATGATGTTCGTTCGTGAGCTGGCAGGATGTGTATAATTACAATCGCCTGCATGACGGGCAATCGTCTCATTATTCCTATTATTGTTATTATTTTCTTCGCTAAGGTCACTGGTGTCAGTCTAGAAAGAGCCAAGATACAAGGCTTTTGTAATACGCCATTCGTCGACCACAGCCAAAATGGCTGTTCCGTCAATCCAGTGATACGTTTCAAACAAAGGAGGAGAATCGGACTTCAAGGTATGAAGTCATGATATAGTATCGTCAGGTATGAACAGGAAGGTGGAGAAAGTAAAGGGTATTATAATGAGCACATATTGCACCTGGATAGCCCTCTAACAACAATAAAGAAGTCATGCTTCTATTTGTTGGTCGTTTGCAAAACCACCTAAGCCCGTCACCTTCCAAAAAATGACTCATACCACAATGAAAATATAACAGAAAATTTACGGCAAGAAATACAATTTTCTATATTTCTACATAAATTTTTAAAATCTTGTATTGGCGTTTTTATAGAGGATTTCCTAGTATTTGTAGACGTCATAGGCTTATATGGTTTTTGACGCGTTTTGCATGTTGCGCATGCGGTGTGCTTACGTTAACACAATGTAAAATTATATCGAAAACTGATATTCTTAACTAAATAACAAATAATGAGACGATAAACAGATACTTACAGAAGCTGCATTTATTTACCCTTCTATCTAGTGAAAATTAAATATATATTAAACTTATGTGATCGTCCTTCCATCGAAGCTTTAAAACACTTTGTGTCAGAATTCATCTCACTATTTTCTATAAGCAATAGTTTTAGTAAGCATAACCAATATATAATAATATCTAAGTGGTTCAAACATAAAAAAAAAAAAACTTTAAACCAATCCTTTATATTAGGTAAAGCGTGAAAACAGGTGTTTGAATATACGTATAAAGCACTGTATACGAATCTATCCGTTACGAGCTCGTGTGGATTTGTGTATATAGCTGATGTTCTCTGACGAGTTTCAACTTCTTTTCGGTCGAGCAATGCGCTTTGAAATGGTACATTTAGACTTTTGTGTTGTAACAACTTTTACCAATAATGTATTCTAAATGTATTTTTTGCTGCTATTTTTCAAGTTTGTATAGGGTTTTGTCGAGTGAATTCCCCAGGAACCAAACAGATACACGGTATATTCAGACACTTATTTAGTCGAAGACAGGAAGCTCTATTGCAGCCACTGGCGCTTCTCTTCTATAAACAAGACTAGTTATGTAAAACTGAAGTTCGTTCAGATGTAAGATTACTATTGACATTTTGCCTGAACATGAGTATCGCATAGAAATCCCTGGAAAGTTGTGCCTTGAAGTTCTTGGCAGTCTATACTTGAGCTAAGTTAATCGCAATAAAGCTGGGGTCGACTGGGGCTAGCGTCCAATTAATATTATAGGCTTGATTGACTTAAGACCATTAAAGCATCCGTCGGTTGTGCGTGGCAGAGGGGCGCGACCAATGATGAAGCTAATATGACCGAGTCGTCGATATACGACCTTTACGCAAACGCTACATCACTAAACAAATAATTATAAAATAAATATAATAAATGATAACAAACGAATTAAAGGATTGTCCGACCAGTTAGATTTATATTTGTTATTATTACTTTTGCTATTATTACCTACAATTCAATTTTTATACTATACGATAGTCAAGTATAACTACTTTGTATTTGGTTATAGTCCATATATGAGTATCAGTCCTGATATTATGTAGCTACTTAAACCACTTATATATATCGTTCAGATGATAGTTCATGCTTATATACTTGGAATTACCCGACTGTCGGCACTTGTTGGAAATTTATCTGCAAGCAAAAACCAGAATTTACCACTCGGGCGGATCGTGAAAATTCGTTGGTAATACGACCAATGATAATGGGGCCGAAGATAATATATTAAAACGACCAAACGAAAGTTGAGGTGTTTCCACGAATTAGGAAACTATTTCGTTAAACAATGACCTCACAACGATTAAACGTCACTAGAAAAAATTCAATGGACGCTACACGTAAGCCTTCAGAACAAATGAAATTACGATCAAAGGTAGTGTTAGAAAAGTTGAGCAAGAAAAGATACGTGAATAGCAGCAAAAAAAAGGTACAACCAGGACTTAATAATAATAATCATAATAACGATCATGTTTACGTTAGCGTGTGGCGGTCCCCTAATGCGCAGGACGCGGATAAAAGGAACCGGAAGTCGTAGCTTCAATTCTCGTCAACAACGTACGCTACACATCGTCGTTACGAAATCGCCGTTATCTCATCACGATGATTTCGTCACAAAAATGATTCAATTTGAATGAAACAAATTTCTCTTAGGGCCCGCCATGCTTGTCCCTGCGTGCAATAGATCATGTCGAAAGAATAATATTAACAGGTTTTGCCTTGTTTGCTTTAACTTTTGTCTATGTACTCGGTCGTAGAGCGACCTTGATTCTCACTTGAAAACTTACAACTATGTTCTTCTACGCAACACCTATATATCGTCATATATATATATATATATATGTATATATACATTTAGCTATCGATGCTGTTTTTCGAAACGGTCCCCGCTTTTGCTCACAGGACTTTTAACTTTTTTTGGTGCTGGGATGTTCCAGCTCGATGAAAAAAGTGCACAAAATATATATGCTATAAAGAATCAAAGCTATGCATATAGGGAGCCTGAAATTGCAGTACAGCTTAAAAAATAAATTGGCATAACTTTTCTCTATCCACTTGACTACTGTTGTTACTTAGGATAACTTTGACTGTTGTCAAATAACAACTTTGCAAAGTTCAGCGTTGATAAACACTGTTTGTCAAACAACTCAGTGTTTCAAGAAAATATAATTGCAATTTAACTATGCCTAATGTGTAACGTTTAGTGAAACTTCACAGTGCCTTATCTTGATATTTTTTTTATCTACTGCATTTGCCGCTGCTTTTGTTTTTCAGCAACTCCAATCCGATACATTTGAAATCCGTCCTGGAAACGGCGGAACAACCGAGAATACTACAGACGGTAATAAGATTAACTCATATACCCGCTATCGGAGTCAACCAAGAAGTGACTATGCTTTACAATGTAATAAAATTATTGCAACTCTCACGTTACTGTTTTAGATGTCCTTTCCTTTTTGCTTTTCAATGGAGAACGTCGCGGCCAAAATGCTGTTATTTGTTGCGCGAGATTAATTGATGCGGAGCGAACGTTCTAATGGAGTGGCGCCGCCTTCAGGCAGTCCTCAGAGGCTCTTACATCAGCTTACTTCAGAAGAGCTATTTGCACAGTTGTCGACTATAATACGATACCGTTCCCTAATGGTGATGACGATCTCCAGCTGATCGCTTAGGCCCACAGATCTTCAGACAACACCTGCAAATAGTATAAACCTGACTGACGCCTAAATCGATGAGACCCCTCACAGAGGTATTAAGGACACTGTATATAAATATAGTTCAATAGACAATTGTGTAATTTCTTCGCTTTCAATGTTGAAACACAACGGACCGAATAGTAGATTCAAATCGTAACAAACGGAAAGATAGCATCGACATTATAGACGTATTTTCTGTATAACTTAGAGATGTAAGTTATTGAAAATGCTTCACGTGCAGACAGATACATACAACCAAATAGCATCTGTATGCTTTTAAAGCTTTTTTTAGAAGTTATTCGTTGCGAGTTGCATACCCTCTACGCGTATCTAGCTCTATGCCTGCCCATAAAAGCATTCCGCTCGTACTATAATTGGAAAAAAACATACAATTAAGTTTAAAAAAGTGGCTATACCCATTCACTTGTATCCTTTCTGTCTTTTCTTTGAACATTACAGATTTCCACCGCTTCTCAGTTTTGTGTAAATTTGCTTTAACGTTACGTTATTTTATTTTTACTTATTCTTTGAGATTGCAACCAATGTGCGCCAAAGCTTACTCGTACGAGCCGTATTGGCAAACTTGAACCAATGGTCAGGATTTACCGATTGGGCCGTTGCATTTTCAACATGTGTGACAATTTTCAGGAAGCTAAAAAATCCTGACGCGCAAATGTTGAAGAAGCACTGTGCAAAGCCGACGTAATAACGAATTTTTTACAATGCAATATTTCTGTGGGGTTCATAAGCTACCCCACGTCAAGCAAGCGCATCAAACATAGAGTTGCAAATGCCTCTTCTATCTTATAAGGTTGGTTTAATATTTCTCAAACGCTATTTTACAGCTTAGTTAATTCTCTTCGCACGGTTTGCATGCGAAATTTAGACGTAAAAATCTAAACGCGGCGCGTGTATGCTGTACGGTTTCATATTGGACATTTCCGTTTTCATTTTTTTTTTTTCGAAGATTTTTCATATTGCGTCCATTAGCATCAATACTATGTACACAAAATCGGTACTGATTTTATATGTTTGAGGACAGCAAGAGATGCGTATCTCTTTTTATAAACGGACGACTCGTATTATATTTTGGACAGCAACCCTATTACGGAAATATAGATCGACAAACCATATCGTAGATGCGCTGCTTTAGGAAAATGTTACCGTATCCGGAGCTGCTTCTCAGTAATCTCAAACTGGTGATTATGCGTAAAGGAAACTTAGTAGATCTATGCATCAAGTCCTTCGTCATTTACGGCTAGGACCTAATTGATCGTTATCAGACTTTGTTATTAATGTACTCAGTTAAAACTGAAAACTCACTGGTAGAATAAATTCACACAAAAAACAAGCTACACCCCTAGAAGCTCAAACGGAAGGACGAATTGCCGTGATCACAAAAGCTTTTAACCAAAACAGGACACGGACAATTCGTTCTCTGTTGGCGTA